CCGCGATTGGGATGGAGAGAGCAGGTGGAGAAGGACAGGGTGAAAGCGGGGTTGCGTGATACTGAGGCGAGTGACAGATGTGGATGGAGTCGAGGGGTATTTCGGTTTCATCATAGGTAGCCAAACGGCAACCCCCGATCTCGGGGAAAATGCCGTCTAAACGTGTGTTGTTGTTGTTGTTGTTGTTGTATTATTATTATTATTAATACCTAGGCGCGCGCACACACACACACACACACACATTTATAACGCAATGACAAATGTAATAGAAAAAAAGGCTAACATACTAACATACCTCTCTCTCTCTCTCTTTCTCGCTCTCTTTCTATATATTATATATACTGTATGTGCATATTTGTTTGTGTGTGTGTGAGTGTGTGCGCGTGTGTGTGTGTGAGTACATGCGCGCGTGTGTGCGTGCGTGTGAATACTGGAAACAAATTATTGAAATGATGATAGAAAGAATGTAAAATAGAAGAATGGAAAAGATAAAATGGAATAATTTTGATGTGTCAGTAAGGAAAATAAAATTTTTAGATGGATGGATGTGTGAATGAATGGATGTATGAGTGAATGAATGAATGAATGGATGGGTTGGTGGAGGAGAGAATGTGTGAATAAATGAACAAAAAAATGATTGGGTCCATGTATGTGTGAATGAATATGTGCATTATTGTTTGAATGTGTATATGAATGAATGAATGAATAAATGAATGAATAAATGCATGAATGAATGAATGATAGAATGAATGAATGCATGAGTGAATGAATGATAGATGGATGAATGGAATACACACGTGAAAAACAATCAACAATCAAATGCACAAATTAAAAGCAATCTATAAAAAAATGAATACAGGAACGTAGGAACAGAAAGATAAACAAACAGACGAATAAATGAATGAGAGAAATGATTGAATGAATGAAAGATTGAATGAATAAACGAACAAACTTAATAAAAGAATGAATGAATGAATGAAAGAGTGAAGCCATTGATGAAAGAATGAAAAAAATCAATCAATCAATCACTTTAATATTTCGTTGCTTCATATCTCGCCACTTTCAAAACTTTAAAAAGCTTGAGATCAGCCAATAATTATTGTCAATATTATTAATATTAATATTATTATTAAAAATAAACAGTGAGTTCGATAGAAATATGTACAAACAATTATAACTTCATAATATATAATAATATAATAATTATAATATATAATATAATAAATATAATAATAATAATTATAATAATAATAATTATTATTATTATTATAGTTATAATAATAAAAATATTAAAAGCATTGCGCTACATTCATTCACGACAAATGTAAACTGGTCTAAAGTTACATACTGAGTTAAACCAAATTTCGAAACTGATTAATTAATTAACATAATTAAATAAATAATTAATTAATAATTAACATCACCCCACCGTCACCATCATCATCGTCATCATGACTATTACTATTACTACCATCAGTATTATCACCATTCCCATCATCATCATCACCATCACCATCATGATCATCATCATCCTCTTCTTCATCACCATCTTCATCCGTATGACTCATGAAGAGCTGATTAGTTGGATGACATTTGGCAGATGATATTATTATTATCGTTATTATTATCATTTCCATTATTATTATTATTATTTATTATTGTTGTTGTTGTTATGGGGGCATGCTTCCCAAGACGGCTGTGCCATCCTTCTTCACGAACAACTGCAGACCACCTTTTCCAGCTGGCGGTAGTGATGATGATGATGTCGTTGGTGCCGGGGATGATCATGATGATGATGATGTTGTTGGTGTTGGTGATGATTATGATGATGATGATGTTGGTGATGATGATGATGTATGTGATGATGATGATGATGTTGGTGATGATTATGATGATAATTTTAGCTTCTCCTTGTCACCACCACCATCATCATCATCATCGTCATCATCATCATCATCATCATCATTAGCAGCAGCAAAACAACTATCACCATCATCATCATCTCATTACAACCATCATCATCATCACTACAATGACCTTGAGAATGGGCATCAAAGTTAAGGTCAGAAGACCTGATGACCTCATCGACCAGCTGGTTTGCATCTATTCTCGATAGTTCCACCCTTCGCTCCTGAAGACATGATCATGATGATGATGATGGTAAAGATGATGATGATGATTGTGAAGATAATGATGATGATTGTGAAGATGATGATGATGATTGTGAAGATGATGATGATTGTGAAGATGATGATGATGAAAACTAAAATGATGATGATGATGATGATGAAAACTAAAATGATGATGATGATGTTGACAACGTCATCCACTCACTTTTCCGGGTATGTTTGGCCTGGGCATGCTGGCAAATGAGTAACCTCCACTGTTTCTGTTGATGCTGCTCACAATCAATCAATCAATCAATCAATCAATCAATCAATCAATCAATCAATCAATCAATCAATCAATCAATCAATCAATCAATCAACCAACCAATCAACCAACCAATCAATCAACCAACCAATCAATCAATCAACCAACCAATCGACCAACCAATCGACCAACCAGGTTTTATTGATAGCATTCTCGGAATTAGATCGACTCTGTAGTAGCGTAGATGACGTTGACGACTGCGACAACGAATCGCCGAGCTGCATGCTGCTGTTGATGTTGCTTGTTGTGGCTGCTGTTGATGCTGCTGCTGCTGCTGTCAAGATGTTGTCACTGTTGTTGTTGTTGTTGTTCAGGAAACTTAAACGTTTTGTTGTCGCTGATGACGACATTGTAGATGACGATGCTGTCAACAATGATGATGATAATGATATGTTGAGATCGTTGCTGTTGTTGTTGGATGCTGTTGCTGATGGCGGTTGTAGTAGTAGTCGTCGTTGTTGTTGTTGATTTTGTTGATGAGAATCTTTTAAAAAAGAGTACAAAAAATTTAAATGAAGTTGACCATAGCTACTCAAATGATCTTTGTAACATAATAAAAAAGCAACAACAATTACAGCATCAACAACATCAACAACAACGACATCAACAACAACAACAACATTATCAACAACACAGACCACAACAACCACAACAACAAACACTGACCACTACTTATCATGGATAACTCATCTAAAAGATGATAGGACAACGACGAGTTCATCAAAATCTGATTGGACAATCTATTTCCTGTTCCATCGTTACTGTTGTTGTTACTGAAGTAGTGCTCAGACAAGAGCTGGGCACCATCCTTAAACTGTACCTTTGTCGTTGTTGACGAGCTGCTGTTGTTGTTGGGAGTGGTTGTTGTAATGGCAATCGAGTCGTCTTGCGCCAAAGTGCTGTGCAATGTTGTTGAAGTCAGGTTCTGAGATTTTGGTCTGTGTTAGTCGTTGTTAGTGTTGTTAGTGCTACTACTGTTGTTGTTGTTTGCGTTAAATAGACATATAACATTTGAAGATAATTACAAAAATAATTAAATATAGTTTTTGTATCATTCAGCTAAACAAACAACCAGCCAGCCAGCTGATTAACCAATCAATCAACTAACCAAACAATCAACCAAACCAAACAACCAACCAACCAGCCAGCCAACCAACCAACTAACACTTTGAAACACACATCTCCAGACACCAGTGTTAAACCAATGGACAACTTCAATATGGAGTTATCCAACCTATTCGATGAATGATACCCTGCAGTAATAATAATAATAATATACAAATAATTATATTAAATAATATTATAATTAATAATAATGATAATAATAAATGATCAACTAAGATAGATATCAGCTCATTTACCAAGCAATCAACCATCCAACAAATAAACAAATCAATAAAACCCATGACAAGTTATTTAATTCAAACAATTAATCAATCAATCAATCAATTCATCAAACGAACGGTCACTCAATCAATCCATCAATTAACTAGCTAATTAATTAATCAATCAATCAATAAGGAGTGTCTAAATATGAGCAAACATATGAATGAATGAATAAATGAATGAATGAATGAATGAATGAATGAATGAATGAATGAAATGAATGAGCCAATGAGGGAATAAATTATAAAATGAATAAATGAATGGATGAATGAATGAATCAATCAATCAATCAATCAACCTTCAAGAAGGAACCTTCTAGAAACTGAACCACTACCCACATACTCTGATAAGTTCAAATCCACAAATCCAATTTTATGATGTGCCCTGCCTCCTTTCATTTCCTGGTCAATCAGTCAATCACTCAATCACTCAATCAATCAGTCAATCACTCAATCAATCAGTCAATCACTCAATCGATCAGTCAATCAATTATCCAACCAACCAGCCAACCGACCAACCCTCCTTATAGATATCCTACAGCATGTAGCATCCAGTTCCATCGTTGTACTGTTTGCAGTCATCTTGCACGGGAAAGTGAATTTCTTATTCCAAACTACCCTGTGATCCTGTAGCTCTAACCTTTTCACAATTTTATTTTTATTACTATGTAAAATTAGCTTAATTTAACAAAAATATTGATAAATGTTAACACAAACACACGCTTAAACATACACACAGACATACACAGATACATAGAACATGCGTGAATATAAATTAATTTATAAATGAAATATATAAATGTGTATATATACATTATAAGTACAAGTATGAAGTATGTGTGTGTGTGTGTGTGTGTGTGTGTAGGCAAGTGTTTGTGCATGTGTGAGTTTGTGTGTGTGTGTGTGTTTGAGTGTGCGTGCGTTTGCATGTGAGTCACATGACTAACCCGGGGGTCTGCCCAATGAGCCTTTTTCCATTGCCAATAAATCTTAACTTGCAGTAAAGGACAGCATTTACGAAAGGTACCAACGAAAGCTCCTCAACTTTTAGAGAAACATCGAATCTGAACTGTTTCTTTTTCAATATAAAATCCATTTGTTGCTATTTCTAAATGATGATGGTGGTGGTCTTAATGAGGTGGTTTTGAAGTTAGTGTCAGCAGGTCTATCGGTGTTGTTGATGCTGTTCCTTATTCTTTTGTTGTTGGGGGTTTTTTTGAGATTTAATTTTATTTTTAAAATATTTGTTAGTGGGGACTTTGACAATGATGTTAAATAATAAGATTGTTTAGTAGTGTTGTTGTCACTGCTGTCTTCGTTATTGTAGTTAAGAAGCTTGTTGTTAGCACGAAACATATTGATTGAACACCATCAAAATAAGTTTTCTTTCAAAGGCTTTTTACCGATTGAACTTTTAATTTTTCTGAAAATAATATTGTAAAGACTGGTTGAAAAAATATTTGGTTTGGATTTTATTTTTGGATTATTGTAAACATAAAGAATGCAAAAATGGAAATATGATTATTAAACATAATTTCTAAAAATAAATTTGAAATGCATGATAAAAACTAACCTCCCAAGTTTCAATTTTACAATTTAAACCCTAATTTTAAATATATATGAACCTAAATAAAATTGGATCGATCAACAAAAATATATTTCGTACGTGTGTTAGGCTAGCAAAACAACGGGCGCCTGTCAAAATTATTAAATTCCATCTCGAGACCATATACTTTGGTTAGAATCGATCGAGGCCAGACCCCTGAAACTGCTCTACATGCGAGTGCATTTTTAACCGATACGTACATTTAACTGATTTAAACGTTAGTTTTCAGTAGATGCTATTCCAAAAATTGAAGACAAATACTTTTATTATGTAACAAATCAATAAAATTAAAAAAATGTCTTTAAATCTGTCAAGCCGTTATCTGAGAATAACACCTTTCTTCATTCGTGAACGTTTATCCTTAATACGACTGCAGGGAATATAATTATTAATTATAATAAACATCTTGATCAATTAAATTATATATAAAACTACTAACCAGATGTTCCATCTTTTTGTCTGTAGGCGTTGAACAGTTTGGCAAAGTTTTTCATCTCTTCATCTAATTTCTCAGAGCCTACCACGGAACGATAACGTTCAAAAGTTTTAATAAGACTGCACTGGTACTGTCCTTTATATTCATCCATCGTCTCTTCAAAGATATTCAAAAGTAGTTGAGCATACGAAAATTTACCCGCAATATGTTTTATAAATTTATCAACTGTAGTAGTTAATGCCATATGGTCGGGGTTGTATCGAGGTGAGGTCCCACTTTGTGAACCAAATTTCTTTCTAGACATGATATCGCAGAAGCAGGCACCAAAAAAGGTTTCTATGTCTCGAATGTGCTGGCTCGCAAAATTTTTAGACTCCAAACATATAACTTCTGTTGAATCTAAAAACGTTGTGCCGGGAGCGATGTCAGGATTTGCTTGTTTCTCAACCTGATTAATCATCTCTGGTGAAAGGAGAAGGCAATCGCTCCTGCATGTTATTAGAATGCACATCCAATCTGCTAAATCCTTTTTGAAAACTTGCAAAAACTGGAGAAAGTCGGGATATTCTGATTGTTTGCATTCGTTCAGCCCATCTATGACAATCAACCTTCTTTTCGGCCTTTCAATGGTTGAATTTGAGAAGAGGACCTTGAGAGGTTTACGTAATAAAAAGTCATAAAGGCGACGCCATTCGTTTGTAGATCCTTTGACGTTGCAGCCGAAATCAATGAGTTGGTTCTCCTGAATGATATCGTCCATCAAGCAGACGTACTCTGAAATATTTCGCATCAAGCTGTTGGCGATGGATTTCATCAACTCAACCATTCCGTTGTTCTGTCTCTTATCGAAGACAAACAAATTTGTAACGTAGCATTGATTCAATTTGCAGAACGCTGCAACAATTCCTGACTTTCCCGTGCCTTCAAGACCGCTCAGCCAACAAAATGGTTTGTTTGATGAAAAGAGCCACTCTTCAATTTTTTTCAACAGCCAGTCGCGAGTTCCATCGTGAAGGAAATGCGAACTGATTGCATCGAAAGAGCATGTTGACGGCACCGTGAACAATCCAGTCTCAATAAATTTCTTCTTCAATAAGAGGCGATAATGTGCGATGAAGACTAAGAGACTCGGATTCTTATCAGCGTCGAAATAAATCGTGCTTAATAAATTTACTACTCTTAGTGAAATCTCTTTAATCTGATGCGGAAAATTTTCCTTTCTGTAATCAACGGTATCGACGGGTTGTTGTAATATTAGTTCAGAAGCTATTTTTCTAATATCTAACAAATCCAAAAACGTTAGAGTTGGGTTAATGTCTTCTTCTTTAAGCTGGTTCTCTTGCTCAGACGGCGGTAAGTGAGTGAGAAGGGTTTTGGGGTCCAAGGGTTTGATATCAGGTTCCAGGAACGGTTCCTCCAACTTGGATAATTTCATCTCTGCCTCATCAAGAAGTCTAATTAATTCTTCAGTTTTGCTGTCGGGACCACCATAATTCGATCTATCCAGCAGGCCGTACTCCAGAGAGAACATCTTCAAATCTACAATAGGTTTCACCGACTCCAACTTGTTTCCGACTATTTTCGTCAGGAGATTTTCTAACTTCTTTGTGTAGATGGGGTGCGTGCATTGAGTCATGTGTATCTTAAGGGAAACGTCGAGGATAACAAAAACCTTGATCGCTATCGCCGTATCCGCCATGTATATCAACTCGTGCTTATCGAACGGATCTAAAAACTTTTTATAATCCTTGGAATTGAGAGAGGAAGGTATAGCACTGTCTCCAATCGTTTCTGACTCCTCGTTTTTGCCTTGAAGTGACTCCGTGTTCATCTTGTTGTCGCACTTAGGTCTGATGACGACGCCAGCAAACATCAACTTGTCAGCCACCATCTCGTACAACTCGTCGCACAGCTGTTGGTTGGTCGGTCAGTTGCAAACAGACATTTCAATTATTTATAAAATTTATCTTATGAAATTCTAATAGTTTGACGTTAATTTTAACAAGTACACATAAATCGTAATTTGTTAACGTAAAAGTTTATATTTATTTGATAAGACGACGTGCTAAACGTTTGGAGCCTGTACGAATCATGCCGAAACTAATAATACTCTTGAAAAACCTATTCTTAACAAATTTGTAAGCCCATATTTACAACAAACCTCAACGATTTTCTTGATGTGTGAGAACCAAGACACAATATTCTCCGTGCTGTCGAGAAGCCTCTTGAAATTAAAGCTGACCATGTCCAAATTGAGTTTGACCTCTTGATACAGCTGGCAGTCGAACGGTAAATCCATCGCAAGATATTTAAGTTTTTTTTATTCAAATTGTCTAATTATATTATTTATTATTCTTTTTTAAAATATGAAATCTTTTAAAGTTAATAATTCAATCTATATTCATTCTTCAATAGTGTCCAACCGAAATATTATTTTAATTAACAATAAAAAATAAATATATAAACGCGAATGTTTAACTACGTGTATATGTGTTTTCGGCACATATGTTTAACCACATTTTACGTTATTAACTATCAACTAAACGTCATCATCGATAAGAAAATATTAGATGTGTAAAATAAATAAAATTCGCGACATGCACACAAGTATGCCACACACACACACACACATCAGTGTGTGCATAAAATATGTTAAAAACCTAATATATACATTATACATATATATATATAATAACCATAATCATTAATATAGTGTATAAACCGAAACTTATTAATATAATACATTGCGCCAAACAGTAAATCATAACAACAGCAATAACAATAACAGCAACAAAAATAACAATAATAAAACAATAACAACTACAACAACTGAAAGTGTTAAAAAACTGTCCGAACGGTCATTTTTAAAATTGTGACGGTATTCACTTTCATCTATCTTCACCGCGCATTACTTCAATTATTACTAACTATTATTATTATTATGGTTGTTTATTTTTCTTCTTATTACTATTATTGATTCGTCTTAATCCATTTCAAATAAAAGTTCTAAAAAAAGGGAACTCGTCACATTATAACGTAGCTATCTTCAGTATCATAAATAACAAAAGTTGGTCGGTCGGTCGGTTGATTTGATTAGTTGCTAGTTGGTTGAGTAGCTATTGCTAGGCTTGGCGGGTTGGAATGGCTGAAAATTTAGTAACTGTTAATCAGTTGGTTGGTTTGACTGGCTGATGATTACGTGATTGATTGATTGGTTGATGATTAAGCGGCCTACAGATTGAAGACTTCGGCTGATGAATAAACATTCAATTATCCCTGGAAAATAATTCACAGAGACCCAAATCCTGAACGTCCTTCTGTTCCATGAGTTGTTCCTGTTTGATCCGGAACAAATTGAAGGGTGTCAGGTTTTTTATCAGGATCTGGTTCTTGTAACGTTGGCCTATATTTTGCTGTGAGATTGGTTAGGTGATTGATTGATCGATCGATTGATTGATTGAGTGGTTAAATAAATGGACGAATGGTTGAATGATTGAACTCTTAAATGGACAATTGAATGATTTAATGTAACATATGGTAAGGAGAATCAACTGGAAAAGGATAAAATTAACATAGAAACAGGCGGAAACTATTCAATGTATCAATCAGTACATTAAAAAAACAGCTAAACCAAAATCAATCAGTCACTAGCAACACTGAATCACCTACACGTACAAACGCACAGCACGCACGCACATAAACACACACACGCACACATACACGCACACACACACACAGACCCCGATAGCACCCTCCACTAGACTCTTAAACATCTCTCTCTTCCTCTTCTCAAAATTTCGTTGCTGTTGTAGTGTAGTGTTGCCGCTGTTGCTGCTACTGCTGCTGCTGCCAAAAATTCTCGCATCGAATGCCTAATTTTTTGTAGAAAAAGAATTTATTTATTTTAATTTAATAAAAATTGAATTTAAAAATAAATTTTAATAAAATAATCATCAATAATATTCGAATATTTTTCAACATGTTTATTGATAAATCATAAGATATCTATACTATTATATTGAAAAGAGTTTTTTAAACACAAACTCACTTTTAAATTCTCCTTTGTACAGCCGGGAATGGTTAGTAGCACATCTCTAATGCATGGAAAGTTAGGAACCTGAAATCAATCAATCAATAAATCAATCAACCAATCAGAAAACAATCAATCAACCAATCAGAAAACAATCAATCAACCAATCAGAAAACAATCAATCAATCAACCAATCAGAAAACAATCAATCAATCGTCCGACCAACCAATCAAGCAGCCAATCGCCCAACCAACCAGCAACTCGTAAGTCTGGACCAGTGACGTCATGATACTAAGGAGCATGACCTCATGTTGACCATGAACATTCAGACCGATGAGGAGCGCATGGAAGAAGTCACGCGCCATTTCGGAATTCATCCTATTTAGGGCTACTAACTAAAAGTGAATTCAACTAATTAATATCAACTAAATCTGAAATTTAGTGAAAATAATTTTCTTCATATTTCCAACCAATTGAACGTGTAATTTAGTAACAATGACAGATTAACATGCAGCGGAGATTTAAAGATGGACAAACAAACAAGCAGACAAACACAGAAGCAAAAATACAGACAAACAGACAGACGAACACAGATGTAGAGAACCTTCTTGAGAACGGGATAGCACCAGATGACGGATTTCATACAGCTGGACGAATCCTGCCAGGACAGCGATACAAACAACGTGAACACTATTGGCCCGGATACTTCCTATTTAATAACAACAACAACAATAACAACAACAACAACAGCAATAATAATAATAAACGATAACAACAACAACAAGAACCTCATCGGCCATTATAATCTCTCCGACATCCCCAAACACTTCCTCCTTGTTCTTCCTCTGGTTCATCATCATCATCGTCGTCGTCATTGCCATCCCAGCATCGCCATCATCCATCATCTCTTCATTATTATTGTTGCTGTGGCTGTTGTCGCTCTGTGGCTGCTGTAGCTGTTGCTGCTGCTGTCCAGATAGAGATCTGAGCTTTTTGTCTTTGAATAAGCAGTCTGCGTTTAGAATTAGAATTAGCGCAATAAGTTATTTTCATCTAAATATTGAAATAAACGAATAAACCCAGGAATGAATAAATGAATGAATAAATGAATGAATGAGGAGAGAAAGAACACACGAACGAACGAATGAATAACATCCAAACGAACCAATGAAATCAAGGTATTCCCTTGTTATGAGCTTGATCATCTGCTCCTCGACCAGTTCCTCTCTCTCCTGATATTCCGATCTCTCCTCTTTCCTTTCTAAACTGATAATGATGATGATGACGAAGATTAATTAATGACTTCATCCTAATGATCGACATCGTCATCATCATCACCATCATCATCGCCATTTTTAACGATTTCCAACCTCATTACATTACTAGCGCATCTATCATACTCCAAAAAACATTAATGATGATAATGATGATGATAATAATAATAATAATAATAATGGTA